TAAATGATATCTTTGTAGACGATCCTATATATATTTTCTTCTCGAGAATAGATCCATACCTCCTATTTCTTGGTAGCTATAGATTTTTCATTTCAGTAAATTTTATTAAGTACACTTTATATTTATATTTTTTGGGGAAATTATCAGCAGAACGGTTAAACGACCTCAAAAAAACTATGGACAACTCGTTATTTTACTCAAGCCAATTAAATATAAGTGAAATTATGAAAATGGCCTTTCTTATTCTCGGTCATGACCCTATAACAAAAATTTTCAATAAAAAAAATGTGTTACTCGTTCCAAACCTTGAAAAAGCAGGGATAGACTCATTTGGTCAATACTCCTTGCCCTAAGCCAAATGATGAGACTACTGATCCTTTCTCAAGATTAGGAGCTAGGAACAAGATACTTTGATAAGAAAAATATGTTTTCTGTGTACCTAGCTCTGTATGAGCAAGGTGTCTAATTCTGGATCCAAGGCCCAAGCAAGAATATTTTAATTATACATACAATCGGGAGAACTTAGGTATGGCTTCACTAGGTGATACGATGAAAGAAAATAGACTTAGTTGGGCTGGCTATGTGCAATGCAGAACTAGTATGGAACATGTTAGGAGGTGCGCATTGATTCAAATGGAAGGCTAAAAAAAGATCAAGGGTAAACCCAAAAAGACATAGTTGGAAGTAGTGTAAAAAGATATGATGATTTATTACTTCATTGAAAGTATAGCCCTTGATATAGCTAAATGGTGGATCATAATTTGTACAGCCGATCCCAAATAGTCTGAAAAATGTTATGATTATAATGATAAAAATGAGTTGGGAATGTCAGATTAAAAATAATTTCAATAAAAAAAATTATATTCCAACATATGCGCATATGTTTCCTTAGCCACCCACCGTCCAACTTAGATGGACGGTGGTGATTGAAAGATTGGCTAAGCATACAAGCAAAGCCGGCATGCTAACTGTGTCCTTCAAATAAAGCGGCTACATTGATTGATTTAACCTCCTTACTAATTTTTGGCTTGACAATTACTTTTCCCTGCCCATTGGGACTTTGATATGTGGACATGCAATTGATTGGGTTCTTAACTTAACAAGTTGGCTTCTACCTAATCACAGAGTTGGATAGGATATGATGTTTGTGAACCTTTCATGAACATACACGTGTAATTTCGAGTATAATCATTCTCGAAATCTTAAGAAAACATAGAAAAGAAATTTATCAAAATACGCCAAATTAATTATTCAATATTTTATTTTTTATACAAAGTGGTCACAATTAAGTTTGATTATTGGATGTGAAATTGAGTGGCCACATTCTTTCTATTGACTAAGCTCAAAGTTCAAAACTTTATTTTAGAAGTTCTTTGACACACCCAAACTATCAGATTTCACATGGGTTGTAAGTAATTGTGGCCTCCTTTTGACTTCCATTACCAAAAGTAAATAGTCTCATTGTATACAATCCTTTTACTTAGAAATCAATTATTCGATTTTCAATTATTCGAACATGATCAAATAAAAAATTACTTGTTTTTTTAAAAATAAATACAAAAGGAGGTGACATGTTCAATAGCTCTTCTCTTATACCTATTTCAATAAATACTAGAATTGGGAGAGAAGATAATATACTTTTCTGAAAAATCCATCCTGTTAGAAAATTTAGATTTCTTTTTTAAAAACATTTCTAATAAAATAAGATAAAGAATCTTCTAGTAATACTTGTTTGGCCGCCCTCCATGTGAACCTCTAGAGGTTGTTGTCGAACACTGTGACCCATGCATTGCACTAATTTGGGTGCTACTCCTTACTATCCAATCTTCTAATTGTCCTCCTACCAACCAAACCAACCAAAAATGGAAAACAAATTGAGGAGGAATTAAAAATAATAATCAATGTGTGCCCACCAAAGTCAATAATGAGCGCAACCACTTAAAAAATAATTCAATAATAATAGAGTTCAAAAGTAAATACAGCAAAATTTATCCACGGAGATTTGTGATCCCGCGAGAGCATTTTACTTCATGATATTACACAATTGCTTTATAGTAGAGCCGTAAAATAGAGAGTTGTAATATGTTTTTAGTTTTATTAATGAAAAACAAGTAGGGGCCTTCTCCCCCACTGATTTACTAAAAAAAAAAAAAGAGTAAAAACCTATGCTAGTGTAATCTTAAGACCCAATTTTGTGTATGTGACATACTCCACTCACCGAGCAACAACGTCGAGAAAAGAAATAAAAAGTAATTATAGGTGCTAAAAACATTTTGGACAGTCAGATGTAAGATTTTTTTCAAAACACTCATACAGTGATTCTAAATTGGATTTTTGAACTTTTTTTGGGTAATTCAGTGGGGATGACGAGCCCCTACCTTTTTTTTCTTTTTAAATCATCGGTGATTTTTGAAAGTGATAGGTGAAAATGAAAGCCTAAAACTTCATCTCGATAAAATACTATTAAGCCGGTCTTTTACCTGAGAGAGCAAACTTTGAGTATGCTCCTCCTGGAGTAAACTATAAAAGCCTCAAAATTATAAACATTGGAGATCCTTCTTCCACTGAGAGGGCCCAAATAAGGTCGTTACGAGGGCAATAAAGATATAAAATAGTAAAAAATCAAATATGCATACTTTGCCCATGAGTTGGTTGCACTGTGGATGATGCTGAGCTAAGTACACAAGGACAAGAGGACCCCTTTGAAGGTGACTTCAAAACACGCATGGGAAGCAAACGATAGGGTTGGTTTGCACTTGTGTACAAAACAATTCAATAGTGTGTTTTTTATTTTTATTTGGCAATGTTTTGAAATTATTCAGCCACTTGATGCAATAGCACAAATTTTACAACTATTTGTATAAAAATATTAGAAATTTTGACAAAAACATGGATATTTTTGATAACTTTGATTGGGGATGGTGTTCATGTTTCACGAACCCCGTCCAAGATCCATCTCAATTGCTCATCTGGATGGGTCGAACTCGGACCCGACAGTTCGAACATAGAATGTCAAATTGATGAGGTTTTAGAAATAGCTATATGCGACACGTGTGTACGTTATTAAGAGCGGGCAGGTGATATGATTCTAAGCGAGTCCTAAATGAGATTAAGGATTTCCCTTATAAAATTCCCAAAAAAGGTTAATTAAAGCGTCGAGGTTTCTTAATTGTGATATATGTACATTTTATCGTAGACAAAAAACTTCACTGGTTGATTTTGAAGATTTTCTTGATATGAGAAATTTGGATACATTTTAGAATAACTAGATGAGTCTTTTCAAAAAGGAAAAATGTTGAGGTTCTAAACCTAGATTTGATAATCCAAAAATCAGACGGCCATTATTCAATTGCAGGATTTAATTTTTTTTTTAGGTCTATCCGTCGTGTGTATTCAGCTTCTTTTTCTTCTTCTTTTAAGTCAGTTGAGTAAACATCTCCCAATTTTGCGATATTAAAACTGCTCTTGGCTAGGGTTCACTCGAAGGAAACAAATGTACATTTTGCTCATGGAGGGAGTCTAATTTTCTTTAATTTTTTTCTTTTACCTATGAAGGGCACACATACTATGCTCCCAATGAGAGCAAAGTTGACTTGCTTGAGCTAAAAATGACAACAGATATTGTTTTACCAAAATATTAGGTGTACTTTTGAATTACTGCACGAGTTTTTGAAAAATAATAATAAATTACTAAATACTTTATTTTATTTTTTTTGGTAATTCAGTGCGGAAGACAGACCCCTACTCGATTTTTCATATATATTAGAGAGTTTGAAGGTGTCCGTAGTAGGTGGTATCACTATGATTGAAAACCACATCGTGTTAAAAGTTGTAACCTTATACAAACCATACCCTCTTATATTAAATGGATTTCTTTTAAAAAAATCATAATTAAGTGAAAAACATTCAATGGACTATGTTCAGATTTTATTCGTAGCTCATTGAATATGTTAATGAGCATGTCTGCCGTGTTCCTGTTGCAGAATCTTGTACAGTTCCTCGGGGAAAAGAATTAGAAGATTCTTTTCATTTGAAATTTTGGGATCCGCTTTAAGAACTTTTGTTTGGGTGTATTTTGCGACACCAAAATCCCAAAATCATCAGAAGAGCCATGCAAGGTTAACATAAGGTCCATCTATGGAAATCGGGTCTCAAAACTCAAAGTTGCCTTGAACATAGGTATCTAGGAATCGGTCTTGGGTCAAGGAGGGCAGTAGCTGGGTTTCACAGCACTATGTCTCAAATTCCATTTCTATGTAATATTGCCAAAAAAATAAAAAAATAAAAAAATAAAAATGTAAGGTAGGATGCATGAAAAGGGCTTCAGAGCTTTTCCATTCAAAACTCCCAACAAATAGATCATCAAAAGTGACTCTACCTATTTTGGGTACCAGTTAGTCTACAAAGAGAGTTGATTCAGTATGATATGCAATTCAGTTTAAATGATCCGCAGTTGATGCACCAAGTATACAAAGAGAGTTGATTTAGTATGATATGCAATTCAATTTAAATGATCCGCAGGTGATGTACCCTCTTTAACCTCAAATTTACTAGCTTTGGGTTCAGCAAAGTTTTGTCATTGGCTGTATTTCGTTCATAGCTTTCCAACTTCTTCTATAGAAAATGTGCCAAAGTTTCATTGACATGTGCAGAAGCACATTGTCATCCAACAATTGTCGGATGTACCAATGACTTTCCAATCTATTAAGAAATCAATGATATGTATAAAAACCACTTCGTCGATACAATTCTCACACTGGTGACCAAAAATATGAATTCCTCGGATATAAAGAACAAATTAAGCATCATGTTGTGCATCAAATATCAAAGATCTTATCAATATGAAACAATAGAGCTTGGGCTTGAGAGGTTAGCAGGTGATATTAGGAACCTTTCATTTCAATTGGATTTCTACCACTGAACTATTCAAAAAAAGAGATAAAAAGATATATATATATATATATATATATTTACCAATATGCACTAAAGTAGGCAGGAAATAATTCATCAAAGACCAAAGAACAAAACGAGGTTCCATGTTATTCATCAAATATCAAAGTTTTCATTGAGATACAAAAAAATAAGCATTCTAAGCCCAAAAAAAAACATCAAATGACCCCCAAAGAAAGGGCCATCACCCATTGAAGAAGCCACAATCTCTCCTAACCTCACCTTGGCCTCCCATCTTGACCCCAAGGCCCCCAAGCTTATGCATGGCCTTAACAAAGTAATCAAAGAAGAGTTGTTGGTCCTTTGCAAAAGCTTCAACATAGCCACGGGTCTTGGGGTTTGCATAGAGCCCTTGATCAGAGCCTAGTAAGCCAAGCCCCTTTTGCAAGTTTCTATAATAAGCATTGTCAAAGGTTGTGGGGGTAGAAATGTCATTATTGGCCACAATTGTAGGGTCTATGCCCTTTTGAGGACAAGGGCTTCTAAGGCTTAGGGCATAGGCTTGGTCCATAGCTGGGTCAATTTCAAAAGTCTTGTTGAAGTTGTAAATCCTTGGCATGAATTCATTGCAATGTGCAAAGCCTATGGTGTGAGCACCTGAGAGAGCAACCATGTCTTGGATTGAGAGGCCCTTGGAGTTGAAGAGAGAGATGAGTTGGTCTATTGTTTGGTTCACTAGGGGAAGATTGCCAGCAACTCTTGAAGCTTTGGACATTTTGCCATCTTTGCGACCTTTGTATACTTCCCATTCTGGTCCCCCAACCTTGAAATCAAATGGCCACACATAAATGAGGAAGGGAATGTATCATCTAGATTTGAAAATGATAGATTTTGTCAAATGGCCACACATAAAGTAGTAATATTTGTCAAAAAAAAAAAAATAGATTTTGAGTCAAATGGATCATGCAACAGTATAGGCAAGAACACCCAGATTCAAGGCCAAGATCAGGTGTAGGAATTGGGATGGGTCGATCCGACTGGGTTTGGATCTTTACCCATATTTTGGACTTGACATGTCGGGACTGGGTCCACTTGACCTTGACCCATATTTTGGACATGACATGTCGGGACTGGGTCCACTTGACCTTGACCCTACCATGGGTCCGGTTTGGGTCCTGTTTAGATAATATCAGGTTGGATTGGTCCTTGTCAACTCGACCCAACCCACCCCATGTATATTAGTATAAATTACTATATTATTTTATTTTTAGACCTAAACCCGACCAATTGGCTTTGACCCAACGGTGTCCGGGTTGGGTTTGGATCCAACTTATTCCTATTCGAGTCGGGTCCGGGTTGACCCGGACACCACCCTACCCATTCCCACCCCTAATATGGAGGGGGCCTAGTCACCAAAAATGGAGGCCAACTTTTGATTGGTGCATATCGATTTTTTTCTTGTTCTTGGAGCACCTAGATTCGGTGTGTGCGCAAAATTTGAAGTCCATCATAGGAGTCCATTAATAGGAAAATAGGGGTTTCAATGGACCCAAACCCGACCTGGGACCCAAGGGATAGACCCAATCCGGTTTAGGGTATGGGTCGAAAAATTGGACCTAGCAGGTTGGATCCGGGTCCAGATCTTGGACCCAAATACTATTCGAGTTTGGATCCAAATCCAGTAATATTTTTCGGGTCCCAATATATGAAATATACTTCAACATTGTTAAATGCATAGATATTTTAATTTTTGGGTCGGTCCGGGTCCAGGTCCCCTATCAGTTTTCAGCTAGAGGGCGCCTCTTGAACTTCCTATAAAATATGCAACTTCTTGGAAGATATCCGTAATTAGAGGCCAAGATAGACTCAGTTTGGGCTGGTTCCTATCCTAAAAGCTCTATTTTTTTATCTTTTTTTTAAGCTTATCTAATATACTTTTTAGTTCCCCAAAGTCCCAATCTATAAATCCCTATCTTAATTTTTAATTAATTTTTTTATGTTTTAATATTTTCCTAGAATGCTGATTCGGATCGACCCAGACCTATCCGAATCTTTGATCTAGTAATCCAACCTGAGTTTTAAAACACTGGCAATTAGTTCCTCATAAAGAGCCGCGGGTCTAAACTCTACAAAGCATAAAGGGCAGCTTTCACATTTATACATTGGATCATGAGTAAAGACTGTCTAGAACCCCAAATAAGTCAAGCACATCATAACAAAAGCACAGTGCACGTGACATATCATTTCTCTTCACTATAGTAACAACAATTTTGGCTTTTCTATTATGTTCTTTTCAATATGTTAAAAGTGAAACAAAGTTCTGTTCTGTGAAAAAGAATTCTCAAGGATTCTACAAAGAAAAAATAGATCAATTATTAAAAGATCATTGAGCCTACTCAGAAATGGTAAAATCATATTGAAACCCCGGAGCTAATCTAGACAATTTGGAATGAAAGATCCCGGATATCGCTCTATTCTCTCGATTTTTTTTTTTTTTTTTTACGTAATTGTAACCTAGAAAGACTCCAGAATCATCTGAATCAGATAAGGAGAATTAGAATTGGAACCCTATCGAGTTAGGGCCCAATTCAGAATTTTTGAACAATGATGAGGACTCCATGGAAGGGTGAAGAGAATGAAAGAAAAATCATCTTGAGAATGTGCCTTACATGGCTTAGTGAAGTACAATAAGCCATGTAGGGTGCCTTCTAAAGATGGATGTTGGAGATGAATCACCAAACACCATCGATTAATCTCAGCTGTCCACCTTAGTTGTACAAAGTATGTATCATTGGCATGTTTTGTCCGACTTAAAAAGAAAAATAAAATTCGGTCTAAAAAAGGGCATCTTAAATAAATGAAACTAAATAAATGAAAGGAGAATTAATGGGATCATTACCCAAGAGATTCAATATTTAACACTTGATGATTTTTCTTTCGCCTACTCATGAAAATAGGTGCATGAAAGAGCATATAACTTTGATATCGACAAAGGGGCAATGTCAATTTTGTACACCAATATCTCACACTAAATAACAATTCATAATTATTGATATCACCTGGTGACTTTTAGTAAATATTGATGTTGGACGACTTACATGACAAGCCATTGGTTTTCGAAAAACATCAAAATCTCACATTGTATACTGTGAGATATTGGTGTTCGGATTTTACCAATGTCTTGTGAAAACTCAATACACATGAGATATTGTTTTAAAAAATAGGGAAATTTATCAAATTACTTATAAAAGATTAACCATTAGTACAATACCCATATTTTTTTTTTTAATTTTAAAATACCAAAAAATTAACAGGCATTGAGTTGGAATAATAGATCCAAAAGGGTAAATTGTTAAATCGCTCATCTCTTCTAGGTATTTTTCATAAATTTCCTGCTTGAGATATTGATGCGCTGAAAATGCCAATATCATGGCTACTAGTTCATGAACATACCAATAGCCAGTATAGGTGTTTGGGCTGAAAAAGTACAACCATCTCTAGGGGTGACAATGGACTCGGACCCAACCTGGGACCTGAGGGGTAGACCTGATACAGGTCTGGGTATGGGTCCAAAAATTGGACCCGGCAGGTCAAGTATGGGCCCAAATCTTTGACCCATACACTATTTAGGTTTGAGACCAGTCGGGTTAGGGTCTAGGTTTGGGTCCGGTAATATTTTATGAGAACCAATTTATGAAAATATATTTAAATATAGTTAAATACATAGATATTTTAATTTTTGGGTCGGGTCCAATCGGATCAGATCTAGGTCCAGTTGGACCCGACCCGTTGCCAACCCTAATTCGTCTCGATAGAGAGGCAAAATTGTAAACTCTCTCACCCACTATTCTAACCAATTATGGCATTGTCCTCTCAAACCTGCTATGAAATTAGGATAGAGAGATAGAGATAAGAGAACCTTTTGGTGTTTAGAGAGAGAGGGGTGTTTAGTGTTAGAAAGAGAAGGGTGTTTAGTGTTAGAGAGAGAGAAGAGGTGTTTAGTGGAGAGAGAGGTGTTTAGTGGAGAGAGGAGGAGGTTAGGGTTGGTTTACCAATTGAACTAGGTCTCTTGTGGCAATGGCCATAACATCAGCACATGAGACAATGCCAGGGCATTGCCATTCAAGGGCCCTCTTTGCTCTAAAGAACACATCAAACCCATCTCCAGGCAACGATAGATTTATCTCTGCATCCCTCTCTGCAACATTCTTCTCACTCGACGCAACCAACACAGATGCATCACATCCCTACACCCCAAAACAAAGAAAAAAAGAGAGAGAAAATAATAAATAGTAATAGAAAGGGATTGCACCATTTTCTATTGAGTAAATAAAGAATGACATTAATCAAAATGTACTTGAGAAATGATCCATGTCACATTTTATCGCTCATTTTGAGTTGTTCTAAAAAAATTTATCAAATTTGGAAAGATAGAAAAAAGGTAAAATATTAAAAAAATAAATAGTAATAGAAAGGGATTGCACCATTTTCTATTGAGTAAATAAAGAATGACATTAATCAAAATGTACTTGAGAAATGATCCATGTCACATTTTATCGCTCATTTTGATTTGTTCTAAAAAAATTTATCAAATTTGGAAAGATAGAAAAAAGGTAAAATATTAAAAAATTGATAATTTAAATATATTTTTGATAAATTTTTAAAAAATAAACTCATAAAGTACGTAATTAATTAAAAAATGTGGACAGGAGACTATTTTTCTTTTTTATACAAGAAAGTCACAATCGTTATACTTTATTGGATGTAAAATCAGGTCTTTGAGGATGTGTTATTGATGAGCACAAAGTCTAAAATAAAATTTTTCAAATGTTGCAACACGTTCAATCAATTGGATTTCATTTTCACATTCAAGGGCTAATGCTCAATATTAATATCCATCCAGGATTGTATAATATGAGATTATTTATTTTTAATATAATGAGGTCACAATCATTTTAACCATTAGATATGAAATCCAATAGATAAAAATGTGTCACGTCATTCAAGATATTTTATTTTGGACTTTGCAATCCTCAGCCACCCGACCGATATTTTATTTTGGACTTTGCAATCTTGAGCCACGCGATTTCAAATCTGATGGTCTCTTTGTATCAAGAGTAAATGGTTTCATTGTATACATTTTTTATCCTAAAATGATTTTGAATTTTTTTATAAAAAAATGCAAAATACAATAATATTTCTCTTTTCAAATAAGTCAATTTTTTTTGCAAGTTATTTTGAAAATCAATTCAAATACTATTCACAAAATTAGAGTATTTTTTAAAAAAATGAAGTTTTTAACATAAACTCACCAACCATTTTTTTGGAAAAAAAAACATAGATTTCTCTTCAAGCAACAGCGAACAGGGAAACAGTGCAAGGAGAGAGAGAGAGCATCCAGTGTGTGTGCATGTGTGAGAGAGGAGAGAGAAAGAGAGAGTGCATGCAACAGAGTAAGAGAAAGCCCACTGCGAAGACCAAGCAATAAAGTATAGGAGAGAGAGAGAGAGAGAGAGAGAGAGAGAGAGAGAGTAAGAGAGAGAGAGAGGAAGCTTCCTCAAGCAACTAAATGGTGGTTTTCCAATCATATTTCTCATCTTGATAGAGAGAGAAAGAAAAACATAGGGACAGAGTTTCATAAATTATGGATATACCAACACTTCCTTTCTGTGTATATAACAACATTAATAAATAAATAAAAAAAAAAGAAGAGAGAAAGAAAAAGAAGGAGAATTAGTAACCAAGAAGAAGAAGCAGTAAAAAGAAGAGATGACCTCGACAAAGCAGTCATGGAAGAAGAGACGGAGGGCACCGGCTGCTGTCGTTGGGGCTTCCAGAAGCTTCTGAGTGACCACATTCTTCACTATCCTATCAACATTTGGGCAACTCTCTCTGTAATATTCAGAGCTCAGAAGCTCGCCATTAACTGACTGTAAATGCAAACAGCAGAAGAAGAAGAAAAGAAGGAAGCCACTCCTTTTAGCCATGGCCAAGAATAAGAGGGCCTTCTCCTCATGTTCATGAAGCCAGCTTAGCTGCCTTTTTAAAGGGACTTAGAAATGGCTTAGAGTCTGGGGGCCTAGAGAGAGAAACCTGAAAGAAGAGAGAGAAACAGCGTTTGGAGAAAACAAGAGGAAAAGCCAAGGCCATGGCCTGGTGGAGAAAAGATGGGTTTCAAACGGGGAAGAAAGGGAGAAAGCGGTATTTTTGGATATGACGATATTGCCCCTAAAACTTATTTATTTCATTTTTTTGAGAATTGAGATGCCTATTGCTTTTTCTTCTTTTGCTTTTCTTTTTCCTTTCGTTCTTTCCTATCTGTGTTGTTTTAAGGTGGCGTAAGAATTAGAAAATGCTCTTAATAGAAAAAGCCTATCAAAAAATAAATAAAGCCTCATCTTATAAATTGTAATTCAAGTTTTAAAAAATCTTTATATTGATTATCTTGGTTTGAATGTTGTAGTCGGAAAAAACAGAAAAAGGATTTTAAGCTATGAAAATAGTGTATATTATGACAAATGGAAAAACTTTTTGTGCTTCCCTTACAACATAAAATTTATATATTTCTCCTTATCCAACCGTCCATTCTGAATGGAAGGCTAAGATTGCCCCAATCACAATGTCACGTCTCTACACTATTTTATTTTTAAATTTTTGTTTATAAACTATTTTCATATCAAATTTTGTACATCCAATTTTCTATTAAACTTATACTTTTATAAACTATTTTCATATCAAATTTTGTACATCCAATTTTCTATTAAACTTACACTAGTGCGAAATATAAAAAACATATTTTCAATAAAATAAAATGACTAAAATAGCCCTAGAATTTTCAAGAGGTCTTTTGGTTATTATATTTTGACGAAATAATATTTTTAAATAGGTGAGCCCCAATGAGAAGATAGCACATACCGAATTTTATATTCATACAATTTGTATAAAAAACCTAAAAATAAAATACTTTGAGATGTCAGATCTAAATCAAACGGTGGGTGGGTGAGTGGGTCTCTGGATCAAAATTGAACGGCTAGATGGTAGGGGAAGCATAGAAACCTTTCCCGTAACAAATTATCTATATGGTCTTTATTGGCTCGAAAATAAGTGTTTATGAAAATGCAAGATGTGTACTTTTTTTTACTTTTGAATTTCATCGTCAATGAAGGAAAGTGATTTTAAATAATGTAGAGATGGTGTCGGTGTTAGAAATTGACTTTAAAGCGATTTCCTGATGCCGAAAGTGTTTTCCAAATATTTATTTTGTTTTCGTAAATCATAGGCCTAACCTCGTGCATTTGAGGAGAGAGAGTCGTTGGAATAAGAACTTTGAAAAAAGTGGTTGGAGGAATATGGAAAAAGAAGCGATGGGTATGAGAAAAGCGATTGGCGGAGGGAGGATTGAAGTCTTGGAGGAAAAGATGGTAAAACCAGGCCACCCACCCTAAGCATTTAGGAGGGAGAGAGAGAGAGAGAGGGGAAAGTATTGTCATTTTGGGGAAGTGGTATGTTGGAACCTCGTCCAGGTTGCATGTATTTTAGGCATCAGAGATGAGAGAGAGTGGGTTAGGATTTGAGAACGAGAAGGGTAGGGTGGCGATTGTAGATCACGTGTGAGAGAAAGGACGAAATGGGTTTTGTCCTTTGCCTCATCATTTCCTACAACACACTTTCACGGGTCCTCAGCTCTGTACATATATCATTTTATCTCACCAAATACCTTGGGGAACACATGATACCAACATTTCACAGCTCGGATTCGGTCGGTTCGGGTTCGGTTTCAGGTTCGGGTCCGGGTCCGGGTTCGGGTTTAGGTTCAATGCTCTAGACAGTTAATCTACATTTTCATGTTGGATCGATAGATTGGTATCATGTATAGTACAAATCGTCCTTTTTTTTTTTTTTTTGACAATTAGTTTGGATCAAGGTGATAGCACTACTTGCCCCAGTTAAGGTGTAGCTTCCATTCTCCCCTAACACATTCAAAAAACACGGGTAGGTGCTCATCTTCCCCACTGAATCACTTAGAAAAAAAAAAAAATCGGTGCTTTAGAAAAGGAAAATTGTTTCGTGCTGGCTGGACTGTATTTCTACAATATGTAGTCCAAAAGTATAAAGAGGTGGTCCATCTAATAACAATTGTGACTAATGGTTCAAATGTTTTTTTAATATAATTATTATTTCTAATTTTCAAATTATTATTATTATATCGTATTCATGATCTCCATGTTAAAGATTATATATACTCTAAAAATTAGGATCCAATTATATTTAGAAAAATATATTTATTGCCAAGCCTGCATTTCTACAATATGCGGGCTGGATGCATAGAAACCGTGTCCTTGAGAAAAATATTAAAAATAAATAAAACAAGATTTAAATTAAAAATAAGAGCTTATGGGTGGGGATTTAGAAGGAAGCTGCTCAAACATTACATGAGCATACTTTTGGTACAAGAACTCACAATTACTCTTTGTTTGTCATATTCTCAATGTCTAAACTCAAATTTCCAACAAAAAAAAAATTTCAAACTTTGTAACATACCCCAAGCCGTCCAATTTAATATTTGATGGCTATGATTAATTGTAACCTTCTTGTAATAAAGATAATGGACACAGTTAGCATTCCAGCCATAGACTCACTTGTAGAAATGCAGGCTCCTTAGTAATTTATTTTTTAAATAAATAATTTTTTCTGGAGAAAATATTTGAACCATTGTTTTAAAAGTTGTAATGGCATGAAAATTTATTTTAAAAGATTAGAAGATATAATAAATGAGATATCTATACAGCCACGTAACTTTGGGTATGTTGATAAATAAAACCTAAAAAGAGAGCCTACGCACATATTTTCCCTATATGATAAAAATACCACGGTTAACTGAAGGTGATTTATGAGGCGACATGTACCGACTCTTGAGTAGTGAGTTCTTACTGCAGTGAAGACATGTAACAACTCTTTGTGCATTCAAGAGAGAACCCGGGTATGTTGAGAAATGAAACCTAAAAATGTACATTCAAGAGAGAACCCGGGTATGTTGAGAAATGAAACCTCAAAAAAAAAAAGTCTGCGCATGTATTTTTCTTTTATGATATAACATTTAATGCAAGAGCTGAAAATTGCTGTGTTAATACCGCGGTTACTGAGAGTGATTTATGAGACGACATGTACCAACTCTTGAGTAGTCATATAACATTTTACTACTCTTTGTGCATTCAAGAGAAGAACCCAGGGAGGATTTGGCGGAGTCTTCTATGTTAAGGATGTGGTTTGTATAAGGTCGAGACCCTAAATCATCAAAGTAAGGCGCCTTTGAAAAGTGTTGAAAGATGTCTTTGTGATCGCTTAAAATTTTATTTTTATTTCTAATTATAGAATTTAAAGGTTCAAAAATAGTGTAGATCGATCATATCCATGAACACTTGAAAATCTTGAAAATTAACGGTCCAAAAATGGATTACAAAATGCACTATTTTCAAAACTTGAAATCCATTTGTTTTCCATGTCCATACATCTTGAGGTTGAGAAGATCAATTTGAGCATTTTTGGGCATTGAAACATCTTCTAGCGAATTTTGGAGGTGCACCTTATTTGATAAGTGTAAACTATTAAATTGTTGGAAAGTTAAGCATAATTTGAAAATTTTCACTAAAATTTTCTCTTACATTTGGCTTTCAATTGAGAAGCTAGGTGCTTGAACAAAATGCCTTCTTGCAACATAACTGAAACTGTTTCTGAACTCCCAAATTGCCGAAGAATGTGATCTTGAACCATTGCCTTCATCCTTTGCAAACATATAATCAATCATAACCTGTGAATTAATTGTGTTTATAGAGCACTTGGATGATTCCCAAATAATAATAATAATAAAAAAAAGAAGGGACAAAAGAACTCGAGGATTTTCTATGTTAAGTAATATTATCAAGCACCACTTAAACGGTCCACAGTATGTGGACAATCAAATGGTGCACAAGCATCTCTTAACTCTTCGGATAAGAAGGAAAACGCACGGATGGCCAATACTTCATATAGTATCCAAATTTTAGTCTTTTTTTAGTGATTGCCTTGAAATAGTATTCAAATTTTAGTCGTTTTTTAGTGATTGCATTGAAATAGTATTCAAATTTTAGTTTTTTTTTAGTGATTGCATTGAATGAAGTTTTGAAGGTGTTTGTGTCAGCACATCTAAAAAACATAAAAGAATAATTTAAAAAATAAATTAACCAAAATACCCCTTAATGTTTCGAATGTATTTTGATCAACTTATTTTTAAAAATTATTTTTACATACTTTTTATGTACGTCTGATTGAGAATTGTGGATGCCTGAAATTTCTAATTAATTCAAATTTTAGAAAAATTTAAAAATAGAAACATACAATCGTGATAGTCCGTTTTTTCTTTTAAACATTGACAATGGCCAGCTCCTCCACTTAATGCCCACTTTGGAGGAGGATGAGTCATCCTAACCTTCCATTGTTGATAAAGGACGGTTGATGTTGCATGTGTTTTATTGTTTAAAATTGCATGAATCACTTTACTCAATCCCTTTCTCTGCCACTGGCAGAAAGAACAAGAATCGAATGGTTTTCTTCAGTGTTCTTTGTTTGATATATATGCCACTATTTTGGCTTCAAATGGCCCAAATTCTGTTCTACATCCAATTCAACCATTAAATGGTTTCAATTTCCATATTTCATAATGCCCGAAAAATGATGAAATAGAAACTGATTCCTAGGCATCTACATAAAGGTTCATCAAAGGGTGAAACTACTTATCAGACGACTTATGCCACCAGCTGTATTTCCAGAAGAGGAAAATGAGAAAAAAGCAAATGGGTCACAGAGAAACAGGCATGCATTCAAATGCTTCTCTAATTAAGAGACTAGACGATTCAACTACTGAAGAAACAAATAATTTTTTTTTGAGTTTTTTTTTTTTTTTTTAGAAAAAAAAAACAAGGTATTTTAGAATACCTTTCACATTTGAGAGAGATAGAGAGAGAGAGTTATAACCCTACTTAACATATAAAGAAATAAAACGAGAAATATCTTACAGTGAGTTGCCAACACTCGCTTGTTCAAGTACCTTCTTCTCATTATTTTGTAGAACAAGCTGGCCTTCTGTGAATTCACAAGCGAAGATGGGAATGCCAAGCTGCCTCTCCAACTTCTTTACAACAAACTCCTCAGGTTCCTCACATATCGTAACCACAGAACCCTTCCTTCCAAGCCTGCCAGTTCGACCTGCCCTATGAGCATAGTGCACAGAATCAGTGGGTAAATCCAAATTTACCACAAGATCACACTCAGGAACATCTAAGCCCCTTGCTGATAACTCATTAGTCACCAAAACTCTCAACTCCCCACTCTTGAAATTCTTGAGAGTAGTTCCCCTCTCAAGTTTGCTGAGATCGCCATGTAAGGCAGCTGCCTTGATACCTCGAGCCTCAAGCTTAAAAACTGTATCCTTCAACTGCTTGGTATGGTTCATGAAAACAATCACAGAGAGAGCATTGATAGCGTGCACACACCGCCTAAGAGTGTCAACCTTGTGTTGTAATTTGGTTATGCAATAGTAGTGCTTCAAAGAGGGAGGCAAGCTCTCTATGGCCGCTTGGGTAATAGCGGAGCTTGAAGGAGAGGGTGACAAAGATCCCAATGCCAAGGCAGAGTCAAGAGAGAGAACCGTTTTCGCTCTAACAAGAAGTGGGTCTCGGCCCCAACCTCTCGCTGCTCTCAAGACAGCAAAGGGCACAGTGGCCGAGACTAAAATGGTTTGACGCTCCACCCGCTTGGCTTGGGTGTTGGAGCGAGCTCGACCAACGTGCTCCAGGATCCTATGCATGTCCTCTCGAAAGTTAAAAGAAAGTAACTGATCCACTTCATCAAGGACTAAGAAGCGTGACCCATGTGTGTGAAGCTTACCTGAGGCACTTATCTCCGCAATCCTCCCTGGTGTTCCTACCACAATGATAGGCTTGTTTTTCCGGAGAGCTTCTTCTTGCCTCGATCGATTTGCACCCCCAACAAGTTGTTGCACCACTTTCCTGTTTTGGGGTCCCAATATTTTTTCAGCCTCTCTCACTATTTGCATTCCCAGCTCTCTAGATGGGCAGACGATCACAGCTTCTATGCATCGGGTTTCAGTAACCCCTTCTCCATTTTGGGCTTCTTTGAGAGGGCCTACTCTAGAGAGTATAGGGAGAAGGTAAGCAAACGTTTTACCTGAACCAGTATAAGATTGGATGATGACATCGTGACCCCTGAGAATTGTTGGGATTGCAGTGGACTGGACGTCGGTTGGGAGAGAGAGACCTTCTCTCTCTAACGTCTCAAGCAAATGAGGTGAGAGGCCAAGCTCTGAGAATGTCTTTGGTGCAAATGGGGCTGAGTTGGGGTCTATGGGATTCTTCTCTACTTGCTTTAACTTGGCCTTTGGTATTTTGGTTTTGATTGAAGGAACTTTCACACCCGATTCCAAATTAGCAGCAAACGCCTTTGGTTTCTTATTCTTTGTTATCTCAGTTTCGCACCCAAATCCCACTTTTGCAAGAGTCAGGGGACCATTATCACGATCTATATGTTTTTGAAACCTGATACTTGTATGGAATTTAGAGTGAGCTAGCCTACGGGTGTGGGTGTGAAGAGAGTCCCCAATGAAAAGGTATAGACGTTTACAGCAAAGCGCAAGCATTCTTCAATGAACTGAAGTATAACCCTGTTAGCAATTCCAAAGCCAGCTAGAACAAGCTCTATAAAGGATCACAGGGAACCAATACGCAATCAAGCCATACCTATTAGGTGTTACAAGAATTCTGGTAATAGAAGAATGTAATCAGAGAAACTTCCAACACACAACACAAATAAAGGCATTTGCATAAAACTTGCAGGCTATAGAGTGGATCAATGCCAAAATAACAAGGTTGAAGGCCTATTTCAATTGCTCTGGAATGGAAATTCCAGTCAAATATATCAAGAAACCACTTCAAACTAAATTGTGCAGGAAACTGGCCAGATACAACAGATTAAACCACCTGCCCAAAACTGGGCACTAGCCAGTTCACTGTACTAAAATAAAACAATACAAAAGATATGTAGAAAGAATTTTGAGCTCATGAGCACATATTCAAGTCGGTTCTTCTTGAGTGTGATGTATATATGCGTACAAGTGAACACGCAGACAAGGGCTTAGCACCTCAGGCCAGTATTCCAAAAAAGAGATATTACAAGTTCTTTACATCATATATACACCCAAAAACCAACTTGCTCAGAGGAAACATCAGTAATGCTTTCTCATGACAGACACATACCCAAGACGTTGTATATGCAAGATGAGCAGAATTTTTCTAGGGGAAATTTATCAAAAAATGGCAAAGAGATGAATGTTTTAACATCTTAGCCATTACTTATGATCTAATTTCAAAAAGCCCATAAAAGGACATATAATCATGAGTAAGAATGGTTGATATTTTAGGTGCATTTTGATAAATGAGTCAAACGTTAAAAAGTTGATATTTTATGCATGGTCTGGTAAGTTTTCCTTTTGTTACATCATATCAGGATAAGTGGACATCTATACAAGTGCAATTTATAATTTGTATGTCATAAAATAATCTAGAACAACGATCCATGCACAAAACAAGATTGAGGTCTATTCACACTAGAAGATCCTATGTGTGACCTTGACATTCATAAGATCACATCCCTTGGATGTAGCTGACAGCTCCATTTCTCAAAATGTCAGCTAACTACTCCCCATTTGGATCCTTAGAAAAAAAAATTTATCTGAAAAGAACTACTGCTTGTGAATTGCATTTCGTGAAAAATATTTCCTGTAAAATGGGTTTTTTGCTGTTCAGATAGGATCAAATACAACCTGGAAGATAAATTTCTACATAGAAACAAGGGCTAAATGCAAGGAATCTCTAGAGAGAAAAACATGGTAGAGATAGAGAGAGAAGCAAATGGCTAGAGCAAGATGGACGAAGAAAGAGATTTCTATGAACATGGAGAGACGGAGAGAGGAGAAACAAAGATATGACTTTTGGGAATGAGAAGAGAGAGAGAGAGAGAGAGAGAGAGGGAGGAGAGAGAGAGAGAGAGAGAGAGAAG